GGGTTGTAAAGGGCTTTGAAGGGTCTTTCTTCTCTGGTTAAGGAAGGGCTGGTTAATTCAGACAAAGACAGGATGGCTGGGTGACCCACAACTGTTGTGTAAATGTGTCTTAATTTGGCAGTTAGCCAGTCTGGTGGGTCCATCAGCAAGAGATCCATAGCAGTGAAAGAAAAAAAGTCCCCTAGGCCTTTGTTTTACACTGCAAAGCTTTTGCTTTAGGTCTGGACACTGAGGAAGAAGCCATCTTAGAAACGAGAGAGGTAGCCATCTTGGAAGTTGACCATCTTTCTTAGCTGGTTATGGCCCCTCTCCCTATTTGTCTGCCTGTCAGGGAATCTGCTGAACTCCCTGTTCCTCACTAGGGGCAGGGATTCTGTGGGAAACATACAGTATCTCATTAAAGAACTAGTTATGTGTTAGCTATTTAGCTATCACTTTAACACTGCTTAAAGTGAGCCTGTCTTCTTAGGGGGTGGTCCCTTTGTCAAAGCAATTGAGGCAGCACATCTGCAATGTCCGGTCTCCACATGGGGCCAGAGATTCTGTTCCCTCCCTCCCTCCCTCCCCCCCTTTCCTTCCTCCCCGTCTCCCTCCCTTTCCTTTTTTTTATTCTAACCCATCTCCCCTGAGTTCTGTACAAGAGTTTGAAGAGGAAGAAAGTAATAGGTTGTCCATCTTAGCCCACTCCCTTAAGGGAGTCTCTCGCCTAAGGAGTTCTGCTCATTTTTCTTCTTCCCATCACGTATGACTTCGAGCGTTTTGAAGAAAAATGTATTCTTTAGCCTCTTTTGGTATTTGTTGTTGTTGTTTGCTTTTGGTATCTTTGTCAGGAAAGAAAGAAAACAGACATTGGGTGAGAGCAGGAACACCTGTCTCCAGAGGAAAGACCATGCATTAGCCAGGCTATCTTTCACTGTTGCTTTTAATGTGAGCAATGGACATGACATCACCCAGATCGGGGATTTCAGCACGGTTCGGTGACAAGGGCAGCAGAGAAGGTGGAACCCACCGAGTCCTGCAGACTAGTGAGTGACTTAACAGTGCTGCGAGGGGTTGACAGGAACTGGCAAGCCGACCAACTGGCACAGAACTGAGTGACGAGAGCTGGCAGCAGTGGGATTTGATGTCCCAGCACTCGGAAAAGCAGATACAGGAGGAGGGTTAGATTCACTTAAGGCTGTGGGTACCGGGCGTGGAGTGCAGAGCAAGAAGCACAGACGAAGGACTAGAGGAGGCAATAGGCATTTCATTCAGACTTTGAAATGCAGGCCAGAATCTTCTGGGAGGACAGGGAATGCTGAGCACAAGAATGTCAGAGGAGGCAGAACCAGATGTGGGGACAGATAAGGCTTATTGGGAGCCTCGGTAAACCACTTCAATTGAGCCGGAAGGTTAATGCAAGGCTGTAATGGAGCGGGATGTTGAAAGGCCCTGTCTGATGACGCCTGGATAAAATGTGCATTCCTCGGCTTTGATTCTAAGCATTATTTTCAGGCAATGAGGATCTGTGATGATCTGAGGTCATTGTGCAAGAGAGTGAAATCCTGGAAGTTTGGCATGGGGGGAGAAAGGACAGTGACCAGAAGAAGGGGCGCTGGTCTGGATAGCTGATTCAATAAAGTCTGCAATAAGGGCCCGACACCTTCAACCAGCGTCATTGTGCACTGTGCTCGAGGCCATCGCACCCGCAAAGATGTTTGCTCTGGGTGGGTATTTCGTAAGTGTTGTCTCACCTCCAACTCCTCAACCCATTTCCCTTCCCCTCACTCTCTCCTTCCTTCCTCTCTTTCCTCACCCTCTCTGTCCTTGCTCCCTCTCTCTGTCTCTCACTTCCCATCTTTCTTAGCTAAAGCATTCAGAAAGACTTACTATCGGGGACTATGCACATCCCCGATACCATCCGAGGCACCAAAGGTTCAAAGAACCCAGTCTGTTCTCCTGAGAGAAGCAAACAATAAGGGAAGCAGAAGTGGCCCAGAGAGCAACCAAGTAGGAGTTTGCATCAGGCTTCAGAAGGGCACAGAGTACTGTTATATCAGAGAAGGTGATGCTGAAGCCAATACGGAGAAATGACAAGAAAGCCATCCATGGAGTAAGAGGAGGGGGTGCTGTGGATGGGGAACACGGGCTCTGGCCTCAGGAGTGGCTGGTACCAGGCTGTTATGGAACGGAATGACAGGTTTATGCTCAGGGCAGAGGGACCATGAGGTTGGAGGAGTTACCAGGACTTTGTGTGCCATACTTAAGAGTTTAGATTTCATTCCAAGCATGCTGGAGGCTATTGGAAAATTTAGCCTTGAACAGTGGCATAAGATTTGTATTATTATTATTACTATTATTATTATTATTCGAGTTTCCAAATGTGAGGGTTTACATTTTTAGAGTCTGCCATGATTGAGTCAAGGTGCTACTCATGGTTCAACCACTTGGTGGCTCTAAGCCCTTGGGCAAGCTACCTAACCACTCTAAGTCTCAATTCTCAAAACAAGACAAAAACACCTTCTTCATAGACATTGTTCTTTAAATGTTGACTCGTTCGCAGCATCCCTAGTGTGGTTTTCAGTACACAGAAGCCCTTCAACACCGAAATAGTTGTTTGTGTTCCTCTTGATACAGTCATTGTCACTACCAAGGCGCCCTCTATTGTAAATGCCATTCATCTCTGGAGAAGGAGGAGGAGAGGCCAGGTTAGACACCTCTGGAGTAATATAGGGGAGAAGATTCTATTTTCTGGTCACTGTCACTGGATGCAGTTAAAAACAAAAGTTTGTGCAGTAAATGAAAAGGAAGAGTAAGCAGACACAGGAGATTGCCGAAGGAAGAGGGGAGTGAGTAAAAGCTGCCTGCTAGGCTTCAGGCTTGGGTGCCCGGCAGAATTCCTTCCGGTATTGTGGACATGAGGAGCCTTTCACCCTGGGCTCAGTTTCTCCGGCCACGGCTGGCTCTCCCTACATCGTTGGGTGACAGGTGCCATATCAGGTCCATTCCCCTGTTCAGTGGCTATGCGGTGCTGCTTGTCACCGTCTTTCCCCACAATGTTTTGACTAGTCACAGCGGTCATATTTAAGTTTAGAAGACGTGGCCAGTTGCAGGAAGGACAGGCAGGGAGAATAATGTAAGAGATATTTTGATGGGAAGGGGAACTTTGGGGTTGGAGAGAAACCTGGTGCCAGAGAAACTCCCAGGAACCCACAAGGATGACCCCAGCTAAGACTCCTAGCAATAGTGGAGAGGGTGTCTACACTGGCCAAGTCAGATCTCTCATGTTCCCATACTTGCATAACTCCCTCCTCCACCCTCAGTTTACCCAGATCTTTTATTTCCCCTTCCTAGGGAAACTCATGAATCTCTCTTTGGGTCCTCCTTGTTACCTGGCTTTTCTGGGGCTGTGGATTGTAGCTTGGTTATCCTTTGTTTTATAGCTAATATCCACTTATAAGTGAGTACATACCATGATTGTCTTTCTGGGTCTGGTTACTTTACTCATGATGACTCTAGTTTCACCCATTTCTCTGCAAATTTCATGGTGTCACTGTTTTTTTTTTTTTTTTTTTTTTTAAACTGCTGAATAATATTCTGTTGTGTAAATGTACCATGTTTTCTTTATCCATTGTTTGGTTGAGGGGCATTTAGGTTGATTCCAGGTCCAAGAAAGAATAAAAAGAAAAACACAACAATAACATAAACACCTCACACAAAATAAACAAAATCTTTTATTTTCAACCAAATGACACACCATGAGAAATTTTGTGATGCTCTCCATCAGCGCAGAGCCTGTGTAGATAGATAGTTTCCACAGATGCTCTTGATATCTAGGGAGACAGTGGCCCTAAACTAGGGGAAGCAGGGCGAAGCCTACAGGCGCCCTGGAATGTCTATTTCAATCCCAGCCTCGATTGTTCTGAGGTCTTGCCACAGCCACCACCAACCGATTCAGAATTAGTTCGGAACTGAGGTTCAAATTCAACAGATAGAATCTTCACAAATGTTCAGCCGGTCACCTACTCTGAGTGTGTGCTCGGGTACATGTGCCGCAGGAACAGCAATGTAAGGGATGGGGAATGGAATGTTTCTGTGGGAAAAAGCGGCCTTTCGGGTTCTCAGCATTTTACCCGGCTGCTTTTCCACTTTTTCAGAAACGATTGAGGCTATTAAAATCTATTCCCAGTGATTAAAAAAAAAAAAAAAAAAAAAAAAAAAAAGAAAAAAAGAAAAAAAAAAGAAAAAAAAAAAAAGTCAGGGACTCAATGGCTCTTTCCCAATTGCTCCTTGTCTGGCAGCAAATACCTAAACACACAGTCTTCTCTTTTCTGTACCAGTATCAAAACAATCCTGCACATATTTGTGGGGAAATAAATCTCTGCCCTTCATTCTGCGTAGGGAATCTCTCTGCAAGACAGAGAGCCCTCTGGGCCTGGGCCAGCCCATTTCTCTAGAGTTTGGGTTTTGGCTGCTTTAAGAGTCTGGCTCCCTGGTAAGGGGGGTTGGTCTATCCTAGGTGTGGGAGGAGGGAGGGGTAAAGCTAGCCTGGGAGTTCCTTTTAGATCAGACAAAAAGAAACCAGGAAGTAAGGAGGAATTATTACAGTCTGTCCAGCTCAGGATGTTAAAGGCGATAACCTCCACGGCCTGGTTATTCATTAGCAAAAAGGAAAGCTCCAGGGAAAGCAGGGTCAGCGCAGCTGCAGGATTGCAGCAGGGTGAGAGCAGCTGGAGCAGGCCAGGTCTGGAGGGTTTGCCGGGAGTTAGTATCAGTCTCTTGCTAACTTTTTCTTGGGACAGAAGGAGACATGGCTGTTCTTTGTTCTCAGATGACTGCTTAAATACCACCCCATCTTACTTACTGCTGGGTACCTAAGCAGTTAGGAAGACTTGCCTTCCCACTGGACCTCCTGCCCAGTCCCCTCTTAATTTCGCTTCAGGGCAACAGCTACAAACAGAAAGCCAGCTGTGAGTCTGTCCTGGCCAAGCCCAGATCTGCAGGCGAGATCCGAAAAGGGAGCTCTGCACAGTATGGTGAGTCGCAGCTGATCTAGAAGCTGCTTGGTCGAGGGAGACAGTGGATCCGTACAGCCTGTGGGGAGAGGGACATCCTCTCCCCTAGTCCCAGCCAGAGCACAATGGGCAGCATCTGTGTGAGGCTCTGGGCATACTTGAGGCCTCTTCTCCCCTGCTGGTCCCAAGAGGCAGACAAGTCAGTGGTGATTGAGAATCCAGGAGCCTCCTCTCCCCCAGGGGCTCGCAGATCATCGGAGCCTGAGAGAAGACGTGGAAACTACTTCGTGGCTCTTTTTGATTACCAAGCTCGTACCGCAGAGGACCTGAGCTTCCGTGCAGGTGACAAACTCCAAGTCTTGGACACTTCGCATCAGGGCTGGTGGCTTGCCAGACATTTGGAGAAGAGAGCTGGCTTGGGTCAGCAGCTACAGGGCTACATTCCCTCCAATTACGTGGCAGAGGACCGGAGTCTCCAGGCTGAGCCGTGAGTAGCACAGACCATATTTTGTGTCTTGAATTTCTGGGTGCTGGATGCTGAGCACTCCCTGTTACCCCTCATCTGCAGACCGACCCAGGGTGTGGAAGCCACTGGTCGGAAGCCACTAACTGAAACACGCCTTTCCCGAAAAGTGCGAAAGAAGCAGTCAGGTGACCGCTATTAACATGACTTTGATTACAGTATGCATACCTGTGGTCCATTTAATCCTCTTGCTCTGCCTCACCTTAAACAGAATGACGTTTTCATCTATGGGGAACCCTGAACCCACTTTCAAATGTAAAATTTGAGGCTTCTTGTTTAATGTTAACTTTCCAAGCATCCCAGACTAATACTACAGACCATACAGTTAATCACAGCCATTTCTATTCTGGTAGGCTCACACATGGTGAAATCATAATAAAGACAACTTTCTCGGAATTCCTGAATCCTGGGGTGCACTATTCATATTATGATAGCTGTTGGCTGTAAGGATTAAAAGCTGGCCAGGTATAGACAGTAAATTTTAAAAAGTCACAGAAATAGTTCTTCAGAACAATAGATAAGATTTCAACCTGAAATAATTAGGGAGGGCTGAGGATGAGCAGATCTCAGTTACCTGTCTCTGATTGTGGTGGTTAAACAAGCTTCTGACCATGTAAAACGGATTACAACAGTTTGCTGAATAGATCTGATTACCTCTTCTTATGGTCTGAATCTGAAATGCCCTTGACAGGCTCGGGTTGTGAATCTTTTTCTCGAGCAGGTGGTCTGCAGGTGGTCAGAGGTTGTACATAGGTAACGGAAGTCCATCTTTAGGAACAAACCTTTGAAGAGCGCACCCAGCCTTTGCTCTTCCTATTACTCTGTGTTTACTGCTCCGCCATAGTAGGGGACCAACTTGCACACATCCTTTCCACCCTGAACTTATTCCCTATACCTGCTTTCCTATATTAGATGAAAACCCTCAGAAGCCAAAATAAATGTTTCCTTCCCCAGAGGGAGGAAGGGAGGGAAGAAGAGAAAGATGGAGGGAGGGAGGGAGGGAGGGAAGGAGGGAAGGAGGGAGGGACGGAGGGAGGGAGAAAGACAAAGAGAGATACACAGAGAGATAGAGACATACACAGAGAAGTAGAGAATTCATCCTAGTATTTGAGCGATTCCTGTGGTTTGTAATGACATAAAAGAAGAAAAATTATAAATTTATTAAGCCACCCTCATCCATCCATCCATCCATCCAAGTAGCAGGCATACTTGTGGGTGAGCTAGTGCTGTTTGGTTAGGAAGTAAACAAAGTGTAGTCTTGATGCTGGATATGTAGGATTTAGAGGAATAGGAAGCAAGTCGAAGAGATTTAATATTGGTGATGATTTCCAATGGAATCTAATTCAGGAAATGGTCTCCTTGTAAAGAAGGGCTCCGTACAGTGGAGATCACTGGACACCCTCTCAAATTCTCACCTAGGGAGTTTTTCTTTCTGATTGCTTGCTTTTATTATTATTATTTTAACATGCAATCTTTATTAATCCTTTGAGAACTACCTATTGTGTGATTTGATCATTTTGCACTCTCCTTCCTCCATAGTTTTTGTTCCTTTGTGAGCTGCACATCTCTTACAGCTCCATGAAACAGCATAAGGACAGTCGTGGCCACTGCTACTGCTTTCCAAGCTTAATGTGTCCATAGATTCCATAACAGAGGATGGTAGTACACTCTTGTAATCTCAGAAACTCAGGGGACTGAGGCAGGAGGATTGCTACATATATGAGACCAGTCTGAGCTATACAGTGAATGTAAGGCCAGCCTAAGAAACTTGCTTCAAGAAGGAAGGAAAGAAGAGGAAGAAAGACCCAAAGAAACTCTTATTTTCTGTGGTAATCTAGATCTTTTCTCACTTAATTTTTCATGAAATATCTGAGGCACACCTAAACAGAAAAAAAGTATCTTTTTGTCATCTATTAAATACTTAGTTAATGCATTTCCTACTACTTTGTTTCTGTGTCTAACATTATGCATATTTTATAATATTCAGTGTAACATTATCAGAACAAACATGTTAATGTTGATATTTAGTGCCTAGAATTAATCATACACTAGTGTTTAAATATATTTGACTTATTGTAGTTTAGAGACTCTGATTCCTCTGTAAGTTCTCTCGGGTTGCCTAGACTCCCTCATTTCATGAATACGTATGTGTGAATGAAACTGCTTGTATTTATTCATGTGGTTCATTAGTTACTTTTATTCTTATTGGACTGCAAATGCTGGTGGATAGAGTACAAAAAGAAGATAAGCTATCCCAAGTTGAATGCACCCTGGTTAAAAGGCCAGACAGTGTCTGGACTAATTTAGATGGTCTGCCCGTGAACACAAAACAAGGCAGCTCAGGTACTGTGGTCACATTTTTTTTTTAAACTGTAAAACACCAAATCTACATCCACATCTAATAACATAACTTGAAGCGGAAATATATCATAAATAAAGCATTTCTATGGTCTGACAACTTAGGCATCAACAATTAAAATAAATCAAACTGGAATGAAATAAATCACTTTAAAAGGAAGATACACAAAGCAAGTTGTGTCCCAAGAGTTAATACTGATAACAAGAACACACCGTGAAGTACAAAGGGCTGCTTAAAAACAAACAAACAAACCCCTGGAGTTTCTTTCTTTTTCTTTTTTTCCTGCACTGGCTGCTTTATTGACAGGCTTGTGAGTAATAGCTGTCCCTGAACCAGCCCCTACCTGCAAACGGAGGAAGATGGGTCCCCAGGCAAAGCCCAGCAAGGGCCCCTGACTCCCAGGCCACAAACACAAGGAGTTGGGAAGCACAGAAGGTGCAGGGTCCCCAAGGATCATGTGCTGGTGAGGCGGCGAGGAGACTGGAAGGTCCATAGATACTCTTTGCCAGGGATGTCAGGAAAATGGTCACCAGAGGAGACAGGAACCTAAAGCTTGGGACAGGGGTTGGTGGCTGAAGAAGGGAGCCACTCAAAGGTTTTCAGAGTCATTTGGGGCTATCCTGGGCAGCATGGTGAGACCCAGTAACCCCTTACCTCCACCCTATCTACAAGCAGTCAGGGCCACTGTTACAGACACATCTGCAGCCCCACACACATCTACTCATTCACATCCACTCTATACTCAGAGGGAGGGCTGCCACAGCCCTAGACCTACACCCGGGAGTCCTGGAATGTCTCTGTATTGGTACCCAGGTCGGGGACTGCTGAGGGGGCGGGTCCTTGATATTGCTACTGATTAGCTGCCTCACGGGCATCTATCCAGTCGCTGTACACATCCACCGGTTCTGATAGATATGTGATGGGTGTCTGGAATTCCTCTAGGCACATGGTACAGGAGATAACTCCCGTGTTTCGAGCTCGGTCCATTTTCACATCACAAGACTTCTCATGGTTGCAGAAGGGGCAAGTGAACTGGGTCTCCAGGGTGCCTGTCATCTTCTTCTTGGGGGTGGCTTCCGTTTAGACTTCCTTCGTCCCGTGGCTAAAGGGGAATGAAACCTGTACCAGCCCTGCCTCGCAGCCAAGGCCGCTTCCAACCCCTGGAGTTTTTATGCAATCAGAAAGAGTAACCAGAGAAATCTGAAAACCCTCCAAATGTCATCACTAGAGAACCTTGTGGTCATTTTTTAATTGGCAGGGATGGTCTATAGCCAAGAACACTTTCACTGTCCACCTAACTCCAGACCTTTCCTCTTGGAGCTGGTTGTCAGTTCAGCTGTCTCCATCACTGCTAACTCAGGCCTCCATAGTGGGCTGCCCTTGACTCTCTTCAACAGGAATAGAATGTCAGGAGGTGCTGCTGTTCTGCTTTTACCAGGGCAGGATACTTGTTTCTTTCTAAGCATACATAGAAGTTTCACCTAGATACCTGGTTTCTTGCCATCACTTAGCTGAATTCCCCAGGTTGCCAAAAATTCTCCCATTTTACCAACAGAAGTGAGTTAAGCATGGCAGTCTTAGCGTGAGGATGTTCAAGAAACTCATACAGTGCCTTATTATCAAAGGAATCATAAGAAAAGTGTAAGTATTTTCATTGAGATTTTCAGCCCATATTCTAGTTTTCCTTTTGAACACTGTAAAACAAAAATAATAATGTGGTTGATGGAGTTAAGTAAATAGAACTGGAGAGAGATCGTTGCCTGTATTCATCGGAGGGATATGAGTAGGCGATGGAAACAAATGAAAAGACAATTCATCTAGTTCCTAATTATGTGGTTCAACATATTAGTGTTTATATATTTATCTTGACTTTCATTAGCAGAAAAACAATGTAAGTACTTCTGCAGTTATTACTACTCGGGCAAATCAATTGAAGATTTTAGTTATTTTAGTTTGTTGAAATCCACCCTCAATCTTTTTTTTTTTTTTTTTTTTTTTTTTTTATATCCGGTAGCAGAGATGTTACAAGAACCCCACTACTATTAAAACGAACCACTGTCCTAATTGATTATTACTATACTTGAACACGCTTTAAGTTCCCTGAGTATCTTACATTAAGTGACGATGACCCAGTTCTAAAAGAACTTTGTTTCTGTGAAGAACCCTTATGTTTATATTATTTTCCATTTGAATTCATTCCTAGATCCTCTTATAGATGAGTGCTTTCCTTCAGCATTTTCAATCCAGAATCCACCAAAAACTTTATGCTTAAGGTCTTGATACTCAGAGCTCCTTTAGAAAATATTAGTTGGTGTTTTTAGACAGCTCCTATACTGACTACTGCGTGTTAAAGGCTTTGTCCCCACATAGGGACCACTAGGAAGTCCTTAGGTCCCTGGGACTGTGTCCTTCAAGAGTGTGGGTCCTTAGCTTCTTCTCCAGCTCTTGCGTTCACCGTGGAAGCTTTCTTCTTCCTACTGTCACTCTACCTGTGCCATTTTGCTCTGTCTGAGGTCCACAGCACTGGGGTCAACTTGGTGCTGGTCTGGAGCCTACAAACTATGAGCTGAATAAGATGTTTCTTTCTGGTGTTCGTATGTATGCA